CAATTAATCTCATCACAAATTAAACAAACCCAACAAATAAATACCCAGCCTATCAATTTCAATTTCACCCTCATTCACTTGACTTCCATTCAAACAGCTCTCTTTCAAGAAATCAATAATACTTTCAGGCAATTCTTCCAGCAAGGCCTCAAAATCTGCACCCAGTTTTTTTCTTCTCAACGTCACTCACTACCAACTTAACTGGATCCTGCTTAACTTGTGTTTAATTTCACTGGCTTTCTGCTCCTTAACAGGAGGCAAGGAAAAACCAGTTTCTGATTCTATGATAACACTTGATTTTGAAGGCACAGATTCATCAATTTTCGCAAAGATTGGTGGCTCTCTATGTTGCTTCTCACTACAAGAGAGAAGGCTACACAGTAGAGAGAGAAAAGTTTGAGAGCTTCAAATTCCCATAAAAATGTCGTCTTGGTTTCCCTCAAGTTTCAGTTCCGATGATAACCCTTCACCCGAATCTTCTTCTCCCACAACTCCCTCCGTCGGCTTTAAGGAAAACTTTTCCACCCTTTTCTGCGGTGTGGCGGCCTTTCTTCCGCAGCCACCGCCCAACTCGAACATGATTGCCAGAATCAAGAATGACTTGGTGGAAATTAAGGATACCTTAAAATCGTGCCTTTCTTTTTTCTCCTCGAAACGCACTTCCTTTTTTTTTTTTTACAGTTTCCTAGAGAAACTAACGATAGTGATGATGGTTTGGAGAACAGTGTAGTTGGAGTTATCGAGGATGAGTGGATTTTGTTGAAAAATTTCAACAAGTCCAGAGCTTTGGATTGATTTTCCTATCTCTGCCTGATGACGTTGATATGTCTGACTTCTTGTTTCCCAGGTTGAATGAAGAGGATTTAAAGCTTTTAGCAACTCCACAGGTTGTTGAAACGAGGGAGACAATTTTGTAGAGAATGATGGCTCTCTATGTTGTTTCTCACTACAAGAATCCAGATCCGAAGAGAACATAAAAAAAGAAAGAAAACAAAATTGCTAGCCGGACGAGCAGCTCAAGGCCGCTCGCTGGAAATGAAA